CAAGGATAGAGGGCTATGGAGTAGCAAAGCAATTAACTACAGGACAATGAGGCATTCAGATGTCTTACAGTAGGTTGTGTGCTACCACTTCCTCAAGAGGAATAAAACGTCTGCTGCTGAAAAGCTGTAAGTCATCAGAACTAATCAACAATGAACCAGAGGCACTGGATCTTCAACTCTGGAAGGAGTCAGGAAATCCTAAGGGAACAGAACCACCCTCAAAACCTCAACACTGCCTTCACTCTAATCCACCTAATCTTGCAGGCCACCCTGATGACATGCAGCTTTTACCCTCCCCTGAGGGAGGGGTACACAGACCTCCCCAGGGGTACTCCATGAGATTAGAACTTAGACAGCTGTGAGAGCTCCCAAGAACCTTACCCCCAAACCCAGACAACTAGATTAACTTTGCCTCTGCCACGTTACCCCCCTCACCTGGCCTGAGAAGCACCCAGCAGTCTGTGCTAACACTAATCATCCTCTTTATTTTCCTTGCTCAAGAGCGCCTCACTATCAGATGCTGCTCTGGTCCTACATCTGTCTCTGCAGACAGTATTTCTTCCCTGAAAACCTTATTTCTCAAATTGGGTGGAATAAGTGTTACTGTGCCCCAAGATTACTTTCCTAAAGCACTCACCTGTTTCAGCCTCTCCCTGGCCTGCATGATTTTCTTCTTCAGCCACTGGCAGCGAGCAGTCACAATGGCAGTGTGCCCTCGGACACGCCATTCCTTCTGCCACAGGCAAAGGAAGGACACACATCAAACTTTTATTCCCAAATCACATGGTGGTGGCAGATGGCAGAAGTCTTAGAAACCTGGGCTGGACTCCAGGCTACTATACATTTAGTTTAAGTTAGAATCAAGGCAACCTGCCAGCTGCTGTGTACATACAGCTGAAATTCAACACCTTTTCCCCTACAGGCTAATGGCAAGCCCCATTTGGAAAGAGTTGTTACATTCATCAAGTGGAAGCTGCTGCACAGGTTCAGTGTCACAGACACCAATTCTTATTGTTCCATCTGACTTTCAGTTCAATTTTCTCTTTTCAAAAAATGGATTTTTTTGCTATTCCTCATAATCTACTTCATCTGTTGTTGAGGATCTGATCTCTGATCTCTACAAAGTGTTTTACAGCTTTTATTTTTTGCAAAAGGAATTCAGGCAAGTCCAAACCTCTCAATTTTTTATTCAGAAAACATGTTCTTTTTAGAATTTTATATTTGTTTTCATGACTAGAGAATCATTCCCCTGTGCTGCTTTTTATCCTCTTTTATTTCAGTAATTAAAAGTTACTCTTGAAATAAAACATGGATCTGCAAACCACTGACCTGCTTTTTCCAGGACATGGCCAAGGTCATCAGTATCACTTTCATATTGCAACTATATAGAATGTGCTCTGATAACTTTGGGTTATGTCTCAGTGGTCCACAGACCTTCTCAGTTTAAAAGTTTCTTCTCCTTTGCAGCTTTGGACATTTTCCTGTATGAGTTTAACTTGCTACAGCAGTCAGATATAATTTTCAGAAGTGATGCTGCCCTTAAAACTTCATTCCCAAGGCTTCTGGCATGTTCATCACACAATTTGCTCTCTCCCAGTAAACGTGCTCCACACACAGTAACACCCCCATTGGCACCTTGTCAGTAAATTCTACTCACCTCACCCAAAACAAACTCCAAGTCACTGAACTGCCTGTTTTCCCACAGCCGTCCATAATCCTCATGTAGAGTGCATTTAGGGTAACAAGAAAACTGAAAAAAATAAAACCCCACAGAAGGCAGAATTCATTTCAAATGCCCAGATCCAAAAGCAGTGTTGTTACACACACCAGCACTGGATCTTCTCATTAACTCAACTCAATGTAGTGCAGAAAGTAGAAAATAACAGGCAAAGCAAACACAGGCGAGGGCTTCCTCTGCAGTGAGGGCAAGGAAAGCTCACACAGGGTAACCTGGGAGAACTGTGTCTCATGGCAACTTGCATGCTTCAGGATTTGGTGGCTGGGAGTCTCACCTGCTCACAGGACTTGAGGGTCCCACACAATAAAAATAAACCTGAGCTTAGTGGGGATTTGACCTGATGTGGGTCTCTTGCAGTTTAAAATTTAAAATCCCTCAGTCACTGTGGGGCTGGAGCAGGAA